CAGCCCTAAATAACTCTTTAAATGAATCAAATATATTATTATCCTTCTGCCTTGTAGAACATTAAGAACATTTGAGCCTATTTTTTAATTCCTTGGATGTGAAGAAAAGTATACATCCGTAAGTCTTTATTTTATATGTAATAGTCAAATAGTTCTACATTCAAGGGTTGGGAATATTAGCCTGGTGTGGAATTATTGCTGTAACCTGGCTTAAGAGACGTGTAGAAAGCATAAGTGTCTTTCTCTCAGAATGGTTGAGCTACTTTGTCACTTGAAAGAACTTTAAGGCCCACTAGCATTTTTGAATTTTGAAACACCTTTAATCATCCTATGTTTTCAAAATAAAAAACAATTAGGAGCAGTCCCTGCTTTTCACCTAATTTGTTCTTAGAAAGTACACCAGGATGTATATTATATTTTTCTCATATGTTACAATTAGAAGATACAGTCCTTATTAAGGAGTTAGTAGCAAAGCACAGTTATGAATAATAGTACATTATCAAAGAAAAGGTATAGTTCTAAAACTCCATAAGCAATTTAAAAAGAAAAATTAGGTCCACGTCAAAACTAGAGACTATTGTCCTATTACTGATGAGGAAACTGAGCCACAGAGCCACTAAGTATGTGGCCTGTGATATATTTGAGGACATAGGAAGAAAAAGACCACAACAGTTGTTGTTTTTCATCCAGCTTCTTTTGGGTAGTAAGCAAAGTTTTTGCTATAAATTGAGTTCTCTGAACCCTTCTCTTCAAGTCACTTCACTGACTTTTTTATTTTTTTATATTTTTTGAGATGGAGTCTTGCTCTGTCGCCCAGGCTGGAGTGCAATGCTGTGCTCGTAGCTCACTACAACCAACCTCCAACCCCTGGGCTCAAAAGATCCTCCTACTTCAACCTCCTGAGTAGCTGGGACTACAAGTGTGCACCACCATGCCCAGCTAATTTTTTAAAAAATTTTTGGTAGAGACAAGTGTCTTGCCATGTTCCCCAGGCTGGTTTCAAACTCCTGGCCTGAAGTGATCCTCCCATCTCAGCCTCCCAAAGTGCTAGGATTACAGGCATAAGCCACTACCCCAGCCTCACTTAGCTGACTTTTAATGGTCATTTTTTTCTAAGAACAGCTTCAATTCTTTTTTTTAAGTAGAGATTTTACATTAATAGT